AAGCCTGAGGCTCATTCTCACTGGTGCATTGAGGTGAGGGGGCCTGGCTGAGAGACAGCCACAGACGGCCGCAGCCCCACTCCTTAGCCCCATCCAGAAGCCTCTCAGACTGGACTCTCTGAAGCACAGTCAGGGAGGAAAGCAGGTCAGGCATGATTAGAGGGTCCCCAGGAGCCTGACTCCCAACAGAGGAGGGAAGGACCACAGGGTCAGCCCCACTGCAGGGCCGCTGGCGTGAGGGGAGTACGGGCCTTCACCCTGGGCCCCCAGCATAGCTTCAGGCTGCTCCATCCTGGCACCTGAGCAGGGCCCCACTGCAATAAGAGAAAGGAGACATTCAACTCCGTGTCCATCCCAGAAGGTGGCCTCCCAAGTCCCTTCAGATCAGGTCCCCAGAGAGCAGCAAGGCAGAGATCCTAGGGACAAGATCAGATTGTCCAATCCCTGACCCAGCAACCCTCGAGAGGGGGGCTGAATGCTGAGTGTCTGGCGACATAAAGAACATGGTCTCGGAGCCCCAGGACTGTAGAGCCGGACAGCAGAAGAAACACACGGGCTTGCAAGGCAGGAACCGTGCTCTCTTGAAGATGCCTGGACTCTCTCCGCATCACAGGAAATTAATAAACGTGCGTGTGTGTGTGTGTGTGTGTGTGTGTGTGTGTGTGTGTGTGTGTGCGCGTGCGTGCGTGCGTGCAGACTACACCGAGGGCCCCTTGGAGCCACTGCAGTGAGGGTGTGAGATGAACGGAGGGGTGGAGCTGCCCTGATGCTGACTGCCAGGGTGTCAGGGACAGGGCTTCAGCAGGGGCATCCCCAGCTGGATATCCCATGAAGCCGGCGAAACTTGCTTCCACCCCGAGTGTGGGGACTCCAAGCAACAGTGGGCACTAAACTGCTACCTAAGCTTTATTTCTAAAGATTAGATAAGGACAGTAGGTGACATGGGCCATTTTCATTCGAGTGTATGCGTGAACATACCCCCTTTTATGGACCCATATCCTCTTTCTTGTCCTCCATCAGTCTCTGTCCCCGAGACACTTGTCTTCTGCTCTCACGCTATCTAGAAATCTCTGATTTTATGTGTCTTTAAAGTCTAGAGAGAAACCAAACCAAACCACATAATGTATTTGTCCTGAGACAGGCTTAATTGGTTTAATGTGATTATCTCCTGTTGCATCCATTTTCCTACAAACAGCGAAACTTAATTCTTCATGGCCAAGTTCTCCACGCCCCCCTGTGTTGGTTCCATCGCTTCGCTACTGTGAAGAGTTTTAAACACTGATGTGCAGGTGTCTCTGGGATGTGCAGACCTGGGGTCTGGGTTACTGCCCAGGAGTGGCCTATCTGGGTCATATGGTGGGTCTTCTTTTGGCATCTCAAGGAGGCTCTACCACGATTTCCAGGGTAGCTGGAACAGCGGATGGTTCCCTTTGTCCACATCTCCACATCTCTATCTGCATGTGCTGTTTTCCTAGTGGCTGCCATTCTGCCCAGTGAGACAGACAGGACCTCACCATCCCTCTGCCTTTATTCTCTGACAGCCAGTGAGGCTGAGCATCTCATGTCGGGTGACCATTTGCCATCTCCTTAGGAGAGTGCTTCATTAGTCCATTTCTTACTGAGTTGTTTTTGCTGTCGTTTTTGAGTCTTAGCATATGCTGGATGTCAAGTCTCTGTAGACGTAAAGCTAGCAGAAATCTCCGGTTTTGAAGGTCTTGCCTCTTCACTTGTTTCCTGTGCTGTGCCAAAGCCTTTTAATCCCATGCAACTCCACCGTGGGGCGATTTCTTGAGTGACTAGAGTCCTGTTTGGAAAGTGCCTGTGCTGAGATCTTTTTTGTTGTTGTTTTGTTTTGTTTTGTTTTGTTTTGTTTTATTTTTTTGAGACAGGGTTTCTCTGTGTAGCTTTGGTGCCTGTCCTGGACCTCACTCTATAGACCAGGCTGGCCCTGAACTCACAGAGATCCACCTGGCTCTGCCTCCCAAGTGCTGGGATTAAAGGCGGGCGCCACCACCGCCCAGCAGCCGTGCTGAGATCTTAACGAGTTTCCTTTTTCCCCTGGCTGTTTTAGAGTTCAGGTGTTACATTACAGTCTTTATTTCACCCGGAACTGACTGTTTTGCCAGCGTCACGTGTTGAAGATGCCCTTTTTGCCAATGTATATTGTTCTAGGCGCTGCCAAAGCTTGGGTGGCTACAGCTGCGTGGGCATGAGTCTGCATCTTCTATTCCATCCCATGGGTCTGTGTGGTTCTGGGCTGGCACCACGCTGTTTGTCATTATAACTCCATAGCCAGGGGTGAAACCATACAGGGAAGAAATGCTCCCATGGGGACAGTCCACTGTCTAAAGCTAACCTGCATGCTGCCCATACTCACATTCGTACCAAACATACAAAGCAGGCCGCCACAGGACAGAACCCAGGCTGTGCTAACTCTCCTCTGATCCCTACTTGAAGCCCAGACTCTCCTGCAGGGTCTTACATGAACTCCTTAGGCCCCAAGTAAATGCAGGGTCCTGCTGACCAGGGAGGTGGAGATTGGGGAGGCAGATGGCAGGCAGGCCTCTCCCAGAGTCTGGCCTGAGGCTTCTCCCACACCCTGAACTTCACCAAGAAGGTAGAAACAGAGAAGCTAGGAAAAGAAAAGGAGTGTGTTGCTTTCAAAACGGTCCTTGTCTGTCCACTCTGCCTGTGGCACACAACCACAGTGAGGTCAGCGGCCGCTGTGCAAAGCCAGGGCGGCACAAACCGCAGACGGCAGCCATGTTGCCCGCGCTATCCAGCGGCCATCATTTAAAATGCGAAAAGAAACAAAAGGTAGGAGACTGCAATAGTTAATGTATCTAAAACATTACCAATCCAATAGATAATATAAAACCGAGGAGTAACACCTTGCCAGGGAAGGAATATTTGCACACCTGGGCCCAATCCTTGGTCCACACCCAGGCTCTGCAGGGGCTGCTGGCAGGAGCAGCTGTAGTCTGACTGCTCGAACTTAGCAAGATCTCGATGAATTATCCCATCCTAAGAACACTGGGGTTCCCATATAGCATCCTTGGACGATCCCAGGCTTGGAACGAAGGCCAATTGCACGGGCATCCTGCGTAGGTTTGGATGCTCTCTTCCGGCAGGGACACACAATGGGTACCACCACCCAAATGTCCCTCAGCTCCCTGGCAGTCATCACCCCGTCTGTCCCTCAAGGAGCATCTGGGTGATGCCAAGAAAGGGCTCCTCGGGGACAGCTCTGCTCAGGCTGCACAGCATAGGGAGGGTACCACATGCTTCTGGCTATCCCCTGCCCGAGCCGTGCCGAGCCGTGCCCGACCCGAGCCGTGCCGAGCCGTGCCGAGCCGAGCCGTGGCCGAGCCGTGCCGTGCCCGAGCCGTGCCGAGCCGTGCCCGAGCCGTGCCGAGCCGCGCCGAGCTGTGCCCGAGCCGCGCCGAGCCGAGCAGTGCCGAGCAGTGCCGAGCAGTGCCGAGTCGTCCCGCTCCTGTGGGACACAGAACACCATCTTCTGAGGATCCCGACCCTGAAAACTGATTTGAAAACTGTGACGCCAGGGCTGGCTCTCACCTACAATCCCAGCACGAGGGAGGCCCAGGCAGAAAGTGCGGCAGTGAGTTCGAGGTGTGAGCGTGGGGATGGGCTGTAAAGAGAACTGTCAGAATGTTGCCCACGCTACTGAACCAAAACAAACTTCCAGAGGACGAGGGTGAGATTCCAAACCATGTGAGCAGCCACCGTTTCTTCCCTGCAGGAAGATGTGTGCAGGGACGTCAGCAAGAGCTGAGCCTGAAGCGGCTTTCCTGCTTCTGCCGCACTTGGCTATGACGGGAAGCCATACTTCAGTCGGCGAGTTGTACTACTCGGCTCCTATGACTGTGATGCCTGAAAACAACGGCCCCAGAAGGACTGCAGGACAGAGACACGCCTCACCCGCTATACCCCAAACTGTCGGATGTCCAGCCACAGCGCCAGCCCTGCCGGGCTTGTGTTGAAGTCGGTCCAGTAAACACCTACGCTCCGGAGCAAATGTGCTGAACTGTAAATCTCGATAAGTAGGGGCAGCTACCAAAACGCACTGCCTTGAACATTTTGAATGAGTTTTAAAACCACATTGTGGTATTTCTTACGTGTTTTAGACAAAGAAAAGCAGAAACACACATCATCCTTACCAACGAAATCATAAAATTTTATAACATTTATGAAAATCCATTTTCAAAATGTTTTCTCACAGATGCACGTCTTTCGAGAGGTGTTTATCTCCTCACTCACTGTCAAAACATCATTTGCAGCACCTACCCAGGAGAGGCGGGTACAGTGTTTTCATGTTGTTCAGAGTGTCTGCTGCCCAGGGGCTTCCTCACAGTGCCATCCGCCATTCCTAAGACTGGCAGATTCTCCCAGGCCTGGCACAGCTGTCTCCCTGCCATGCCACCGTGAGGACACTGGCAGTTGTGTTTGTCTCCCAAGGAAAATGGACCCCCTCTCCCGCAAATCCCTCTCTGGGTGATGAAGGGGTGTGCTCCTTCAGCTCTCAGGGGCCAGCAGTCGCCGGAAAGTAGGCAGGGCACAGTGAGGCCCAGGCCAGCCAGCCTCTTCCTCCTCAGTTGCCCCTGAGAAAGGAGCCACTCAAGAGCAGGATGTGGGGCTCCTCCGGAGGATTAACCCCGGAGGAACTGGGACCAGACAAGACAAGAGCAGTGCCCATGAGCAAAGGACACTGGAAATCTTTCTCAGGAATACAGCATACACCAGAATTGCTGCAATGTCTTACAATGTGGAAACTTGCTTCAAAGTTCTGATTTTATGAATTTTTGGGGGACGACGGGGCTTATGAACCCCAAGCGGTTTCACACTCCCTGTGTAGCAAAGGATGACCTTGAACTCCTGGTCCTCCTGTCCCGGCCACCCAGGTAGAGGTCACAGGCAAGGACCTCTACAGGCAGCTTTGGCATCTGTAAACTTTTAAGGCAAGATTAAGTTAAAGCTATGTCCTAAGAACTCCTGGCCGTCACCGTGAATTCGCTCCTGTGATGCCAGGACTCTAGTGCCCCGGAACTTTAAAGAGAGCAGGCTGTGCTGTCAGCTGGTGGAAGGGACCAGTGCTTGCCTGCTCTCCCTCAAGTTCTGCACTCCGAGTGGTGTATGAGTTTCACAAACTAAACTGCACATGTCCCGGAACACAGTCAACCAAATTCCACCAGTTCCAACTCACAGACCCAGGAAGCGGACAGTTTTGCCAGACTACTCAAGAAACAGGCAAAACATCTGAAAGATAATGGTCTTTAATTCTCTAAGTTCTCACGTATGCAACATAAAAAAGGCATAATTATGTGACTGGATAGGACATTTTTACAAAAAAACAGTTCCCTCCATCATCTGGTCAGTAGTATATAAATATTCACAATGAAAAAATAGGGAAGAAGGGAACCTCCAACATCCAAGCTCTTTCTTTCCAACACTTCTCAGAATTGTGAAAATAAAACAATCCCGCCTTGCTCCATTCGTACCCAGGGCTCCGCTGCTGGTCTGCACAGCTGGGCTGTGCTCGCCCAGGACCCCCTCTCCACATGGCTCCTGCTCTTCTGTACTGCTTTACAAGTTATTTGAAATAGCAAACTAAATATCAAAATGTAAACTTTGGAAGAGAAAGTAAGAACAAGTAGGTGAAGGCGACGCTTGGGTATCGATGTCCTCACGCAGGCTAGTGTCTTAAACACTAAAACCAAAGTAAAACATTTACATATTTCCTTTTCCTAGAGACATGTTTCAACTTAGTGTGACCATGGTAACAAAAACTGTCTCTACAGAAGATGGTAGGAAAGAGCGTGACATTACTCTTAGTTAGGAACACACCACTGCCCTAGTTTTTTTGTGGCAAGAAACTGTTGCTGTTGTTGTTTAAAGTGACAAATATAAATTACATGGTGGAAATAAGATGCTCCAACACATCACAGCATCTCTCAACTATGAAGACTACATTGTAGGTGAGCAGCCTGCTGAACTCGGTGACATTACACTCAAGTCCAGTGGGTGATGAGACTTCTTCCGGCAGACGGAGTGCTGAAACACTGTGGCCTGTGTGCAGACAGGGGCGCCTGCAGCTCCCTGCTGCCTGGAGGCTCTGGCGTGAGTGGGCGTCTCACAGTCCCGCTAAGCCTCACGTGTGGGAACTGCGCCGCCCTCTACTGCCCAGAGAAACCCGGAGCCTGGGTTCTCTGGCTTTGTAATGTTCATTGAAGTCCAGCCTGAAGCTGAGAAAGCGGAGACTTTCATCAGAGCTGGTCGTCAGCAACACCAGAAACTGCTGGACAACACCCTAGGATGAAACACAGCAGAGTCAGTCGGAGCCCTGTCCATGCACAGCCCCCCCTCCAGCGCCACTGTACCCATGAGCCTCCAGCAGGAAGTCGCTCAGCCTGTCTGCTCCCATCAGGGGTCCCTGCCTGTACAGTCAGACAGGCAATGCATACATTCCGTGGAAGAGCAACTGGCCTCCTGATGTCCCCTCTGCACTCACACTACAGGACTAAACAGCCATGGATGCCAAAGCATCTTATTCTGTGATGAGCACAGAGCTCAGGGACCCCTGCTCTCTCTCACATCTCACTGGCTCACAAATGCACGCTCAGTCATCACTCTATGGGGGAATAGATCCTAGATCAAAACCATTACTGGGACTCCACACCACTGTGAAAGCAGCCCTCATGTAGGACACAAGTCCTGTCAGATGGTGATGTAGCAAAGTCATTGTGACTATTCATGGTTTCAATCTCTCCACAAGGCCACACTCGGCCTGCACCACCCAAGGCTCAGTGCAGTCCCTCAGTGCAGTCCCTCTGGGGAGCAGGAGAAGTCACAGGTCCCCAGGGCCAATCTCCCATCCAGGCTCTCATGCTAGCTCTACAGCTGCCCCGAGGGGAGCCCATCAAGGATGAATCCTCAGGGGGACCACCAGCTCCCGAGACACTCCACCCTGGATGCTGCTCATGCGACAAGGATGAGCCACATCTCTAACCTCTCAAAGCAAGCCAGTCACGGAAGAGGGCACTGTGGCTTGTACTGTACGCACCTGGTAGAAGTGTGTCAATATTCGCAACTGTGAACACATTTTTGGTATGGAGTCCTGGAATTCTCGGATCCTCCGGTTCTCCTCCTCTTCCTCTGCCGCTGTCACCCCCCACTGGCCCTGGACAATTAGAAGCAGCAAGTTCAACTGCTGGACGGGCGCCTCCTTGCACGTACCGCTAACGGCGTCATATGCTCAGATACCACTGTGACCCACTCCCACTAACCCGTCTTCTTGTGGCTTTGGTGCTGTGGTACAGATGGCCCTGGGTCCCTCCACGTTCCTCATTCAGACAGTGGGCACTAGGGCACTAGTCAACTGAGTGCTGGCACTCCTGACTTCAGCGCGACTCCCCTGGCAATCTCCCTTGGACACGTTCACCTATTCTCATTCTAACACGTCATTTTCAGCCAGGCATGCCTGGTAGCCCACACCTGTAATCCCATCTGAAGCAAGAGAATGGTTAAGGTGGAGGCCAGACTGGGTTGTATACAGTGAGACCATTTCATCCCTCCCCCCAGCAAATGGTAGACTTCACTGAACGTGTGTCCAGCCAGCCTGTACGGGAGTTACCTAGTTCTCTTCCATCGACTAGATTTTCTGATCTGAACCTTTGCATTCCCGGCACACACCTCGGTCTGGAGAAATTGTTCATTTTGCTAACATTTCTCATTTGCATTGTATGTGATTTGCCCGTTGGTACTGAAAACTCAGGCCCATTCTTTCTGAGTCCTATCGGCCTTAGGTGCTTCACACAGTCTGGCAATGGCCCTGTCGTAACTTGGAACTGTGGCTAGGCAGGGTGGAGCCTTTCCAGCAGAGCTAATGGTACTTTTGACAGCTTAGCTAACGGTACTTTCGACAGCTTACTGCCCTTTAGCACATCTTCTGCAGGCCATTTGGGTGTCTACAGACCACGAGCTTCATTTACAGATATCAATCTATTTGCATACATCTAAGGAAATAAACCGTCTATTCCTTCTCAATTTTTCACATGTGTGCTCTCACCTCTTATTAGCCACTAGACCAACAGCTTATTTGCCCTCTATCTCCAGCCACCCAGGCCACACTCCTGAGACCTCCAAGAACAAGAACTATCAGTAAATGGACCAGGCACAGTCCTGGAATGTTTTAGCAAGAATCTGGCTTCATTTTGCCAGTGTCCAGAGCTTTTGAGCCAAGTTGAATTTAAAGATGATGAACTATTTGTTAGAAAGGTGTGTGGACAAGCTTCAAGTTTTTGACAGTGAAGGACAGACAGCATCTGTGGCTATTACAGAGCTCCCCACCATCAAAGAGAAACCTGGTGTCTGCATCGGGACCCAGGGAAAAGTGTTTCCTCGGGTCAGCACACAGAAGCTGACACAGCTGTGGTTCATGGGGCAGTCAGTCTACCTCTCCAGAAGGTGGAACTGGTTTTAAAGGTGTAAAAGACACAGGAAGGAAGGGTGACGGAGCGCAGCTGAGGTCAGGCACTGTGTGGCCGCGTTGAGGTGCTCATAGAGATGCGAGCCCTCAGAGACCACTGTGTGAAGCTGGGGTAGAGGCCTCAGCGTGCTGGGGATGCCAGGATCACCGGACATGTTCGAGGAAGAGTTACTGGCATGAAGTGGATCTGGCCTGAGCCTGGGAGGGAAGCTGTGTGCCACAGTGGGCGGGCTGAGGGGATGCGGCTGCCCGAACCCTTTGGGGCCCGGCCGACTTCATCATGAGTGGGAGGGCTGAGGGAATGCGGCTGCCCGAACCCTTTGGGGCCCGGCCGACTTCATCATGAGTGGGAGGGCTGAGGGGATGCGGCTGCCCAAACCCTTTGGGGCCCGGCCGACTTCATCATGAGTGGGAGGGCTGAGGGAATGCGGCTGCCCGAACCCTCTGGGGCCCGGCCGACTTCATCATGAGCCCCAGAAGCCAGACATGGAACTGCAGGATTTGGTATTAGCCCTGTTGGAGTTGAGGTTTTAGTTTGATTATTCCTTTCCATGCTCCTGATTGTTTCATTTTGAACCTGGAATGTTAATTCCGTGCCGTTTGATGTTAGAGTATGCAAGTTGTTTAGATCTTACAGGAGTTCATAGTTCAGAGTCTTTGAACTTCTAAAACAATGGAACTTTTTAAGGCTGGAAACTTTGAAAATTGGTTTCTACATTAGGAGAGTAACATGAGACTTTGAGGGCGAGGGACAGAAGATGTGCTAGCTAGTTTTATACTAACTTGGCGCAAGCTGTAGTAATCTGAGAGAAGGGAACCTCAATGGAGAAAATGCCTCCATGAGACTGTGCTGTAAGCAAACCTACGGTGCATTTTCTTAGTTAGCAATTGATGGGGGAGGGCCCAACCCATGGTGGGTGGAGCCATCCCTGGGCTGGTGGTCCTGGGTTCGATAAGAAAGCAGGCTGAGCAAGCCATGAGGAGCAAGCCAGTAAGCAGCACCCCTCCATGGTCTCTGCATCAGCTCCTGCCTCCAGGTTCCTGCCCTGTTGAGTCCCTGTCCTGTCTTCATTCAGTGATGAACTACAATGTGTAAGAGTAAGCCGAATAAACCCTTTCCTCCTCAACTTGCTTTTGGTCACGATGTTTCACCACAGCAACAGAAACCCTGACTAAGACAGTGGGGTGTGGTTTAAAGTAATGTATCTGTGCGTCAAGCAGACAAGCAGGGAGTTGTGATGATTAGTTTTAGTTATCAAATTGATGAAATGGATAATCACCTGGGAAGAGTGTCAATGAAGACTTGCCTAGATTAGGCTGGCCTGGAGACAAGTCTGGGAGGGGTTTTCTAAAGTGTTAACTGAGGGGGAGGACCCACCTCAGCTGTCATTGGCTGGGCCCTGGCTGATCACATGCATTCTTGGCTCTCTGTTCCTGATGGCTGATACAGCTCCCTCAAGCTTCCTCCACCGGGGACCGGGAACTGTGGGGGAAACAAGGCCCTTTCTCCCTTAGGTTGCTATTGTCGGGATGGTTTGTTACAACTGGAAGAACATCAGGATCCACAGGGGACTGGTTTCAGCAGCCTGGATGGATATCAAAACTTGAAGGAAGTCAAGTTGTGGAGCTCCTTATGGAAATGTGCAGATTACAATTCTTTTTAGTGGCATTTCTTTTAAGCGTCCATCACAATTGCCACTGATAGAAAGAAAACTGACTGCTGCATGTTAACTTTGATTTCTAAATAGCTGGGAAAACACACTTATTCATGCCAATAATTCACCTCAGGGTCATCTTGGATTTCATGTCCAGCACTTCTGCAAAAGAACCTGTTTCCCTGCGTGCTCACACTGGCGACGGTCGGTGCAGTGTGCGAAGCCAGCAGTTCCCAGGCTCACTCTCACCTAAGACGCTCTCAGCATTTCACCAATGGGCAGATCTGCCACCCAGATCTTCAGTCAGATCTTCCCGGGGATTAATTAATCTTTTCCTTTATTTTGCAAAAGTGAGTTACAGTAATTTTATTAGACCAATACAAAGAGTCCTGTATTCTTGGAATGATCTCAAATGTTCTGTAACATATTTTCCATTTGGTACATCAATTAGTAAAAATTTTGTAGTTTCATATCCACGTTCTACTACACAGAGAACAGCAGAAATGAAGCCAGTTAATGCGCACTGCGATGAGAGGTCACCATTATGAACCCACTCCACAGGACAGGACAACGTGACTCGGCATGCATCCCCTAGTGAGACAGATTCTCGGGAAGCAGCACTAGTCACGGTATTTTTCAATTTCTGTGGCTGGTACTGGTCCCGGAATCCTACTGCGCACAGGGGTGTGTACAGAAGTGTGGGTGTCACAGGCGGCAGGAAGTAAGTATGCTAATACTAGAACCAAGAGTGTCAATGTATAAAGTGTAGTTTGTAAAACTAAAGGAAGTAAAAGCCCTTCAATCCTAAATTTGAATTGGAAATATCATAATAACAGAGGAGGTTTTGAGAAGAAAAGTGGGAAGAGAGTAGAGAGGAGCCATGAATTGCAGAAGGAAGGACCTCTGGGACCGCTCCACCTAACAGCAGCATGACAGATTCGGAAGCCAACCCCCGCAGCAAGGCACTCAAGTGCTGAAACCCTTTCAGGGGCCAGCGCCAGCGCTCACAGACCCAGTGGACCCACATCTGCATGACTGTTGCAAAATTATTTTACCTTTTGGATTTAAATAAATTTGCCAGGCAGTTTCAGCGTTACGGCTCTCCCTCTCTCTCTGAAACACACCCAATAAACCCACACTCGTGTGGCTGTGTCCCTTCTGTCACTGACAGCTGACATCTGGGAAGACCACCTCCATGCACACAACCAGCCATTGAGCTATTATCAGAATCTTGCGTCTGTCGGTCACACACAGGCTGCTTGGCATGGATCAGGAGATTACGTGTGTGCAAATCCCAGGGCTCTTCAGAAGTACCCACAAACCACTGCAGCCAGGAGATAACCCAGTAGTACCAAAAGGACACATCCTCTTGCTTCCAAACTCCACCATACTTCAGTGCCTGACACCTGGCTGCCAGGCCCCTCACATGGGCTGGCAGTAAACCAGCCTAACTGCCGACCAAACAAGCTGCCTTTCATGACCCCGAGGCAAGCACCTAGACAGAGCAGACGGTCCAGGCGAGCAAGAACAGGAACCCCACCACCAGCCTGACTTGTCTAATGGATCTTACTTATTTCAGGCTACTGGGAATACACAAAAATGTCCGAAGGAAACCTAGCTCATGCGTCAGTAAGCAAGTCAGGGTGTCTGGTCCCTCAGCTTCAAGAGGCCGACTCTGGAGACAAGAGTACAGACAGTGTCCAGTTCGGACACCGGGACAGCACTCAATGGGACAGCAGTCAGAACGTCCTCCGACTGGACTGCGCCCGCTTCTGTGTGCGTGCCGATTTCAGCAGGGGAGCGGCTGCTGCTGACGCTGCCCAGACTGCCGGCCAACGGTGAGAGTGTGGGTTAAAAACCGTACCTCGAGCCGGGCGGTGGTGGCGCACGCCTTTAATCCCAGCACTCGGGAGGCAGAGCCAGGTGGATCTCTGTGAGTTCGAGGCCAGCCTGGGCTACCAAGTGAGTTCCAGGAAAAGCGCAAAGCTACACAGAGAAACCCTGTCTCAAAAAACCAAAAAAAAAAAAAAAAAAAAACCGTACCTCGATTTCACGCTGCTTCTTTTTCTCTTCAAACTGCAGTCGTCTCTGTAATTCTTCCAGAGCCGCTCTGTACATTGCATCTTGGGCATTTTGAAGTTCAATAATTTGATCAAACACAGCTCTGAGCTGATTTAAAAGTACCTAAAAAGACACAGCGTTCTCAAATGAACAGAACCTCAACGTGCTAGTGAGGCACTTCTACTCAAAGATATTGTACTAGTGCTTTGCCCTCTAAACTGCAGAGACACTAGTGGTGACTAGGAAGCCATTGGGTAATGAGGCCTCCACCCTACCAAAGCGGTTACTGTTGCTCACTGGTTGCTGCTGGATTCCCACAGCACTGAATTCTGACTCTTGAGAATGGACTGTTCTAAAGTAATGTACTGCACAAAGTGTGAACTGAGGATGTATACACACTAAATACCACGTGTGTGCTTTCTGTGTGTGTGTCTAGATGGAGAGGCTCCTCCTAGTCCTTGCTTTGAGTCTTAGTTACTGTTCTATTGTTGTGAGAGGACACCAGGACCAAGGCAACTCATATAGAAAACATTTAATTCCAAAATCATGGCAGGGAAATGGATACGGCACTGGAGCAGTACCTGAAAGCTTTACATCCTGATCCACAGGCAGCAGGCAGAGAGACACTGGGCTTGGCCTGGGCTTTTGAAACCTCAAAGCTCAGCCCCAGTGACACACCTCCTCCAACAAGGCCACACCTCCTAATCCTTCCCAAACAGTTCCACTAACTGGGGACCAAGCATTCAAACATATGAGCCATCCTCATTCAAACCATCACACTTTAGAAGACGAGCTCCAGCCAGCCTGGAGAGAAGCAGCTATCCCACACTCACTCCACAGCTAAGGACGCTGTCCCTACTGCCCATCTCTAGGCCATGCTGAGGTGTCAGGCAGTGTCACCGACAGCTGAGCTAACTGAATCTCCAGTCAAACAGAACCAGAGCCTTTGCTGAGCAACTCTGAGAACAAGCTAACCCAAGAACAGACGCTGGAAATAAACAATCCCTGGCTCTCATTTCCCATAATGCACTCATGTGACCTGGGTCCTTCAACTGCACAGCAATGCAGAGAGCCAGAAGGACCCGATCAGGGGACACCACTCCTGACAGGCAGTCACATGGCTGGTTCTGACCACAGGCTCAAGCAAGTTCATCCTGTTCTCTGTCAGAATTGTATTATGCTAAAACTAGAATGGAGATGGCTACATTTAAATTTGATAAGGATGTAGTTCTCTAGTTTCTCTATTGTAGTCATGTGAAAACAACAAAAACAAAAACACCTTCTTTTTGGAACACTGCCTTGCCCCTGAGGTCACTAACTGACGTTTCCTTTAAGTGGAATGTGCACTGTGGGTACTGGTCTGTTCCAGGGGTCTGCAACTGCACGCTCCATGCTGCCTCCAGCCTGCACCTTCTCAGTGGGCTGCTCAGGGTTTTCAACACTACACAAACAAAGGATGAGACACACACATATCTGCACCTGTCTGTCATCCCTCCTTCCAACTAGCTCTGTGTATTGTCATCACTGACTTTTTCACAAGTGGCATAATCAAAATACCACACTTGAAATTACTATGTCCACAACAGATTGCCTTACTCTGTTTTATACAAGAGATTTCTTTCTTAGGAACAAACAACGACAATGTCCTCTGGAGTCAGGAGGACCACGAGTTCCAGGCATTCTGAGCTACAGAGCAGGACCCTGTCCTAAAGCAACAAACAACAGCCAATCATTATATTAAACACCCAGGAAGGCACAGTTCCAGGCCTGCTGGAGCCTGGGGTGAGGCTCCTTCAGTGAGCCGACTGGGACCCCCAAACACTCCCCATGACCACTGCCCCACAGGCAGGCAGCAGCAGAATCTCTGGACTCTGCCCATATCCACAATAGCTATTCTATAAAGGTGAGAGCCAGGGTGACTCAACCTGTCTCTCAGCCATTCCCCATCCTTTCATGGCTCAGGCCCCACGTTAGCAGAGCCAGAGAGAACACACTGAACAGGGTGCCCTGCGGGTGCAGTCCTTAACAATTCCAACATTACAGCTGGTGACTTTCACATCTGTTCAACCTATGCAAAACAACAGAAAACATGACTCCCACAGCTTGAAAAAGGTAGCAGCTACATCTACAAGTCGGTTACCATGGTGAGTCACATCATTTAATTCCTACAAATTTACATCGTGCCTCTGGAAACAGAAGAACCCTGGAGTCACAAGGAGAGCCTGTCTTTGGTGTGAACATTGACTCTGGCCCACATGTTCCACGTCTATGACACATCACAGAATGGCCAAAGGCCCCCTTCATAACAAACATGGGTGCCAGGTGACAGAGGTGATACCCACTGTAATAGAAACCTCACAGAGACTGGACCTAGTAAAAGTGGTCAGCAGGACCCCAGACCACTTCAGGTGCATACTGCATGAGTTACTAATATTGTTCAAAGTATGTTGCGCACTTTTAGGCCATCATTTCAGTATCTAGAAAGCAAATTCCACATAGAATGCCTTTGGTCACTATTTGTCACACTATAACAATGAAGTTTATCCAGTACTTTTCTCCACCACAGTAGGCTAATGCACAGGACTGGAACACAAAACAAAAGCCCTGGTAAAGTATAGGCAGACGCACGCCCTACGTGTGTCTTGAGCCATCCACACCAAGAAACGCTCTTGGTACTTCACACAGATGCACAGTCCCCTACTTCAAACTCAGAACGTGTTCTTTCTTGAGCCGGATCTTTAAAGGAAATCAGAACTCCAGAGCCTTACTACTTAGCACCTTCCCAGAACAGGGCCCTCTACAAGAAAGGAATTCAGCAGAAAGCCCTAGCCAGGAGATGCTCAAGCTCAGATGTGCACAGTCTGTTGGAATTCATGCAGTCATACACCACTAACTAAACACATTATCCCTACAGACTAACAACATGACCACAGGATGAGGCGCTCAGTCTAGGGATGCAAGGCCCTGGGACTGATTCCCAGCAGGGAGAAAGAGGAAGACGTCCAGAGCTCCAGATTTCTGCATTCTCTGGGCCTTTGATACATGCCACCACTTGTTCTGATGCTTAGGTGCCTTTCTGGTGTCCATCCCGCCACAGCTCCAAAGGGCGTCGTTCATGACGGAGTCTCCTGCTCCATACACCGTCAACAGTATACTGCTGCTCACCACTGTCACAGCCATGGCAGCTGTGAGAGCATGCGTTCACTTCACTTTTACTTCAATTCTGTTCAGAAAGTGAGCCTCAAATACCAGGTTTAATGAGCCTTTCTCAGTGACCACTGACCCCGAGTTGCTGTGTTAGACAGCTTTGGTCCTGGTTTGTAGGAGTGAGCCTTACCCTGGAGTCGCTGTCCAGGAGACAGCGGGAGGTGATGGTGTCCAGGAACGCCTCATGTGCTGCGATAATGTGGTCCAAGTCCTGGGCCTGTTGCACTCTGTTCCAAAGCTCATCCCAGGAGCACTCAAGAACCTGAAAGGACGAGTTGAGACTCTGGAGGGCCTGTTCTTCTGAAGGCATCACCTCTCACACTGCTGAGCCACACAGCATGGGGCGGAAGCCGGCTTACCTCAAAGGTGATGTAGTACTGCATTTGATGAATGAAGTGGACCATCTCGGAGGCCAGGATGTGACACTGGTGCAGCACCCCAGAGAACTCTGCAAGAGACAGGGTGTCACCAGGGGAGGTGCTTGGTGACAGCACAGACCTCTGCCGCAAGCTGCCCCCCAATGAAGCCACAAGCCTTATTCCAGACCCCTGAGCAGGACACGAGCTCTCCGCCCACTTCTGTGCTGTAGCTAAAGGACCTGGCTACACAATCAAGGAGAGACATATTACTTTATCAAAGATGAGGCCTGAGGAGGAACAGCATGAAACAAGATACAATCATATTTAACAAATAAGTACAGCGCTGGGTGGCTCGGTGGTAGGAGGACTTGCTTTGCAAGCACATGGACGTTATTTCAGATCCCCAGTACCCATGTGAAGGGCTAAGCACGGTTGTGCATGCCTGGAACTCCAGTACTGGAGGGTCAGAGACAGGGCCTCTCAGGGGCTGCTTGACTAGCAGCCTAGGGAGGAAGGTGCAAAGTGACAGAAGAACACTAGATGATGCCCTCTTCTGGTCTCTGCTTGGCCATGGGCACATGCAACACATACACAGCACACAGCTGAGTATAAAGTTGATTTTACAGAGGTGAGCATCATGCATCAACAGAAGCCTTATGTCTTCTCTGCTTCTGGCCCAACCACCACACATGGACTAGTTACATCCCCCTAGTCATCTCATGACAAGAGGGCTCAGGGTGGGCCCTACTTCAGTGAGAAGAAAGGCAGGGACTCCAGGGAGTAGACATGCATGTGCAGAAGTCACAGCACCTTCCTTACAAAACTCCAGAGATTCCCCACTGCTCCCATCAGGACCCCAGATAGCTGAAGAGAGCTACGTGTCCACACAACAGGTGCCATGCCACTTCCCCCGTGACTATTAGGAGCCTTTAACCAGGAGTGCACCCACCCAGCACCCAGCACAGGACCCTCAGAGGAGTATCACACTCCACAGGTCCCCCACAGTTTGGAATCTGAATCTATGAATACAGCTGCTGTGTAGCCATTTTCTCTGAATTGCAACAGTCCCAGCAGACAGAGGGAGGTGGGTGAGCCTGTTAATATGGACCTCCCCAGTCCAGAGAAGCTGTAAGGCCTGTCTTTACAGGGGCAGGGACACCGCCGGGAGGAGGCCTGTCAACGTGTCCAGCTGCCTGCGCATCTACAGGGGTGCAGAGCGAGCTCCAGGGACACAGCTTAGGTTAGCCGTGCCCAAGCCAGGATGGGGTTCCGGTGATGCAGCTGCCTCTGGGTCACACGTGCTCCATCAAGGAGCCCCTCCCCAATACTCCTGACCCCAGTAAACTCACTGGTCTGCAGAACTCAACTTCAGGGTAATTACTACTGTGGTCTGACTTGGTTCCCTGTCTGCAGTTAGCAGACGTCTGTTCGCATCTCCCTGGGAAAAGTCACATAAGGGTGGACATGCATCTGACAAGGAGACTATGCTTCCCAGTTCTCTTGAAGCATAGAACAGAGTGTGGTTTTCTCTACTGAAACCGGGCTAGCTAACCTAACGCCATACAACTGGACTTCTGATTTCCACGCAGAGGACTGACCTTCCTCTGTCTAGAGGCGCTCTGTTATGCATGATTGCAACCTCAGAGGAAAGTCTCTGCAGAGCTACTCTGGGTTTTTGCCCCGAGCTGGAAGGAAAGGGCTCTGCCTGTCCCCCCTTAATGGTAAATGTTCCAGGGGATCCTCCCTGGAGCCCAGCAGTGCACACTGAAACCTCCATGTGTATCAGGGCATGCTACCTCACATTTGTGCACTTTGAGTACATCTGCAACAGCCTCCAGGCTGAGCGATCCAGCTGGAGAGCTGCTTGATTCACTTCCATCCCAGGACTCAAACCCTGCCCACAGACCTGCGTGACCAGGGCCACACTGACCAATGTTAACATGCGCCTTCTTCAGTTTGCACACTGGACAAACATGGTTTTCTTCCTAGGAAAACCCATCACTTCACCTTGTGAAGGAGACACTCTTCCATAGTAACAACTGACAGTGAGGCCACTGGCTGTTGGAAAACAAAGTTGAGATCAACCCCTCCGGGCACGACGGAAATCTGTTACCCTCACGGCTGTCCCCTCTGGCCAAAGAGTCCAAACAGTCTGCCAGCTGCTGGTAGGCTGAGGAATATGGGCTATATTTAAAAGCACAGCAGATTCCTTTATACCTGAATATATAACTCATACCTGCTATCCCCTGACTCTATCCAGTACCCTGAAAATGCATACAAAATACATGCTTAAAGTATGTTTTATGATGGCCCAGAAGAACCATAAAAAATTGTAAGAATGGTCTCAGAGCAGCACCAACCTGCACTGAGGTGCAATGAACATACAAGTGTACCCCGTTGGGTTAACACCCAGTTTTACACAGCAAGTTAGGAACGTCTATTAAGGGGCTGGAGAGATGGCTTGGCGGTTAAGAGCGCTTCCTATTCTTGCAGACGACCTGGGTTCAGTTTCTCAGTACCCACATAACAGCTCACAACTGTCAGTAATGCCAATTTCCGGAGACCCGCACCCTCCCCCAGCTCTGAAGACACCAGGCACACACATAGTGCGCACACACAAATGCAGGCAGATACTCAAATCTTCTTAATGACCAGCCTTCCCTTCTGCTTACCAAGACGCTAGGCAGATTCATTCCTGGTTGTCTACCGCCCTCTAAGGGCTACTCAGAGATCTTCAGTGTCCCAGGCATCTTCAGCAGGGCGCTCCTGGACAGGCCCTAAGTCCAAGATTCCTTTTTAAAGAAATGCCCTAAGGCAGTTTCATCAAAGCTTCAAACTACGCTCCCCAACTTGCACTTCCCCTGGCCCTGCTCTGTTTAAGGTGGCTCCATCAAATACCTAGCTGATTCATTTTCTAACACTTGGGATTTAAAGATGCTTCAGGAACTAGCGTTTTTCTTCATGTCTTGTGTTCACCATCCAGCTGCCCTCATGCCCTTCCTAACCTCATTCGGTGTGTGTGAAATACAGGCAAGTGTCACTCACAAAGACAATGGCTCACTGCTGGGCTCAAGCTGGGTGCTGTTCTGAGGACTTTTTTGCAGATTTCATCTCGTAGACAGTGGCACTGTCGAGGCAGGCGGAGAGCTGTTTCCGCACACACAGGTTTTGAAGAGGAAGACATGTAAGGTACCATCGCTGTAAGATGTATCGTCATTAAATAGATCAACACACACACACACACACACACACACACACACACACACACACACACACACACACACACACACACACAAACGGCGGCCAAGCAGCCTGGCTGTGCTGCACATCCGACTGTAGCCCCAGTCACTCCTCAGCGCCGCTCTTCTCCCTCCGATGATCAGCAATGCGTACAAACTGCCCTTCCACACCTCAGTCCAGAACCACTGCCATCCTCCCAAAGGCAGCCGGCACGGCCATGGCCGTCACACATGCAGGCAATGCAGACCCTGCCGGCTGCGGCTCAGCAGCTGCACACACACCCCAAGAGTGCAGAGTAACAGTGCTCACTTCAGAAGTGATCCAATGTGGTGTATGCAGAAGGTGAACCCTTGATCCCCTGTGGTTTTCAGGAGACCACAGGCCGGCTCAGCCTCCCGACTTTTACTGTCTGCTGCAGGGACAAGCCTCGCAGAGGAGAACACTGAGCAGAAGGCATCAGCAGTAGCAGTGGCAAGTGAGGCTGTGACGCAGGAGGAGGCTGAGCCCAGACACCCATCCGACAACATCATGTCCCCAAAGCTTCCTACAGCGCAGTGACCGGGAAACTATCATATGTGCCCTTCTTCCAGGCTCCTCATGCATGGCTTCTGTGCAGGGCTTCTGAAACTGGCTTGGGTTCCTCCACAGGCCTTCCACCTTTGGTTCACTTTAGCTTGTTCATGACTCATTTTTCCAAGGCTTCCATTTTTGCCTTCCTATAAACTTAAGCCTCAACCCATGGTACAGACACGCGATCACAGAACGCTGGCCGTCCCTTCCCTCGCTCAGCCTTGGACTGTTCTCCACTGGAGGGAAGGACATGTGACAGGAGGTCCCCACAATGCCTCCCGAGAGGTTCTAGGACTGACTGGTGACTGCGCACCTGAAAGGGCGCCTCCAGGGCAGACACAGCGCTCAGCAGGGGCATGGGCTCACTGCAGACCCCAGCCAGCAGGAGCAGTCCTACTCGGCGGTCAGAGAAGCAGCATGTCATGTCACCATTTTAGTCCAGGCGTAATGTGTTGCTTCATACACACTCATTTCAAAGGGAATTATTACTTCCGTTTCTTTAGGTTCATTTGTTCTTACTATCTGGTGATAAATTAGCATTTGTTTTATTGTTGTATGAGTAGCAGCTTGCCTGCATGTACGCACATGCGCCACATACATGCTGGGGCTGGAGGCTGTCAGAAGAGGGCATCAGTTCCTCTGGGTGGGACTAGAGTGTTTGTGACCATCGTGTGGGTACTGGGAATTGAACCTGGGTCCTCAGCAAGAGCAAGAGTGCTCTAAACCACTAAGCCAACCTGCGGCCACTTACTTATGTATCTTACACATAACAGACCACACTGCCTCCAACCAGTGCGCTCTGCCGTCAGCCCTCCCAGAGTGAACTATCTTCCACACTTGTCTAAACGTCACTGTGCATCTCTGTGAGCAAGCACACAGCCTAAACAAAAGAACACAACTGCAGGGTCAGACAGGGGCCGAGAGGGCAGCACCTCACTGCACAAGCCTCGCCTCAGCTCTGCACAAAGACACTGTTCTTTCCCCTTGAGGACTGAGAGGCCAGCTTCTTTGTGAGAGAGAAGGCGGTGAAGGAGACGCGCTCATCCGCCACACTGTCAGCTTCATCACAGGAACAGGAAAGCAGCCGCATCCCAGTCCTGGTCCTCCTCAGCCACCAACCAGGGTCCAGTATCAGTGACCAGCTGGTTGTGTCAAGACCCTGGTACAGGCCACTCTTGTCTGCGGTCACCCTGGCTTGGGTCCTTTGGAAGCTGTCTAGAGTCAGCCTACAACCGAAGTAGTGATGAGGAAACCTCTTCCTTCAAACAACTGTGCTTATTTATAACAATTAATTTTACTAATCCAAGGGCAGATTCAGTTCAGTTGTTCTTTAGAGGTTTATGAAATGTTTTCATAATCGATTTCAACATAATGAACTCAAAATTATTCATAACTGAAGTAATTCAATATTGTAACATTAACAAAATCTTGACCAAATGCCTAAGTTCTTAACTATAGTTCTAAATTACAAAATATAAAACATGTCCACATCCTGGATAGTGGTCAAAATAAAAATTAACACCTCCAAGAGAATATAATTAAGGCACTAAGTGAATTTGAAATGAACAAGGACCTATTGGAAGGTTTTCCTTCCTTGAAAATTAAACCAGGTGCTGGAACGGCGGCTCAAGAGCGCAGTCTGTTCTTTCAGAGACTCTGGGCTAGAGGGCCAGGAGCCACATGGCAGCTCACACTGTCTGTGACGCCAGTTCCAGGGACCCAGCACCCTCCTCCGGTCTCATGGCACCAAGCACACACAGCACACATACACAGTCTCAGGCACTCACACAACTACACCCATGAACAGTCGTGAAAAAACAAATGTGATTTTAAAAGAATCTTCATGGCATGGGGAAAAAATCCACCGTGACTTAATTTTCTCTAAATCTCTAAGGAAGTCAAAATACAATGATCCAAATAAGCCTTTTCAAAAACCAAACTCAAACACGACAGTGAGTCTTTCCGTGCAGTTACTCTGAGGTGGTGCAGGCTCCCTGGCCTCCCCTGGCTTTACCTGGCATGTTCCTCAGGAGTTTCGCATTGCACATGTGTCCTTTCCGGATGTCAGTGAGGATGTACTCCATGCGCTTGGCCCTCCACAGGAAGTTAAACACTCTCAGGTAGTGGCCCATGCACTCTCGTGTGAACACCTACAGAGACAAAAGACAGGCCGTGGCTTGTGCAAAGAGTCTCCTAGTCCGGGGCCTAGCCTCCCGAAATCAGCAAACACAGGGAGGGTTCCAGCACATCCCAGGCGGTACAGCACGCTCCAGGAGAACCACACCATAACCATATCGGCCACGTGGTCCCTGTAGGCCAGGCAGGCAGACTCCCAGTGGCAGCAGTGGCAGGTATGTTCCCAGCAGTCCTGGAGTTGAGACACAGGGCAGAGGTGGTATGGCAGGAAGACAGCTCACCAGGACTTTTCTTCCCCCATCCGGTTCGAGACAGGGTTTCTCTGTCCTAGAACTTGCTATGTAGACCAGCCTGGCCTCGAACTCAAGAGGCCCGCCTGCCTCTGCCCCCAAGTGCTCAGATTAAGGGTGTGCACCACCATGCCCAGCTTTTTTTTTTTCAATTATTTTATGCTTTATGTTCTGCCTACATGTGTGTCTGTACACCATGTGCAAGCCTGGTATCCCTCGAGGCCAGAAAAGGACACTGGGTCCCCTGGGACTCTAGCTACAGACACAGTTGTGAGCCGCTGTGTGGGTACCAGGAGTAGAACATGGTCCTCCGGAATGCAGCAAGTGTTCTTAACCACTGAGCCAACTCTCCAGCCGTAACTCGCCAGGACTTTAAACCCAGCCCACATCGGTCTAAACTTGGACACCTGACTGTGACCCCAACTTCTAAGAGACACAGAGGGGTCACTCGCTTCAGTGACAACAGCCACAAAAGCAGAAGCTAGCCTAGCAGCACCTCAACCCTGAGGTCATCATCACAGGATT